TACTTATTTCTTCCTAGCAATCTGGCCTAGCATCTGAGTGCCTAGAGCTTAGGCTCCGGATATAAAATATGAGTATGAATCATAGTTATTGGACTTTCTAGCAGTGTGAACATTCTTTTGATTGCTTAAGTTCTGTAAAATTTGAATTCCCTCCCATACAATAGAGATCAATATCATGGAACTATGAGAATTTTTGTGAAAATTAAATGAGATGCTGCTCAGTCTAAGGATTGACATGAAGAAAGAACCCTCCCCCCCCCACACACACACAGGTATTATATAATATAGCACTGTCCTCCCATTATTCATTGGTTTGCTCAAGTGGGCATCAGTATCATCTCACAACAAATTGTGAGACCTGTTGGCATATAAAATACACCACATGTAGCTTGCAAGGCTTTGCAGTGCGGGCAAGATGCTCTTGGTAGCTTGCCGGGCCCTCAGAGAGGGGCAGAGGAATCGAACCCAGTGGGCTGCATACAAGGCAAACACCCTACTTGCTGTGCTATTGCACCAGCCCATTTTATACAAGAGTATAATATAATTATTATCAAATATATTTATGTTATTATAATTTGTTTGAATTCTTTCATTAGATTTTTCTCTTCTTAGCTTAAATATATTTTCAAATAAAACAGGCTATAAAATAGAGAAGTAAACAAGACAAGTGCATCTATATTTACATCTATATTTCATTTATATCCCAAAGGTAAAATTGATAAGCTAAGGATGTGGATGTGGTTATCTACATGGGCAAGGGCATAGGAAATAATAGTAGATTAGTATATTTCATGTGAATTTTGGGGGAGAAAATAAGTGAGCTATGGTAGGAAAATAGAGTTACATTATTACTGTTCATTAAGAAAAAGTCTATTCCCTTCTCATGGTCAAGGATTTAAAATAGAAAATTTCAGCAGTCAACTTATAAGTAGCCCCAGTAACTAAATAAAGGGAAATTAAGTTTCAATACTACAGAAGACATAAGATTCAAGATAGGGTGCCATGACAATAGTCTTTTCGTCTTTGACTCCAGCATCATTAGCCAATTGAAATGGACTAAAGTAAATCTATCAGAATTATGGAATCACGACTAAAATGAATCATTTTAAAAAATACATAGAATTAATTAAAACAGTATACATCTAAGTCGTTTTAATTTGCATTGGACTGAAACTTGGCATGGTTCTCAGTCCAGCTGTAATTATTAAAATTATTTTAGTTGTTTTTAAATCTAGAAATAGACAGAGATTTAAAAAATTGCATAACTCTTGATTTTTTCTTAATGTTTGTTAAAAGTAGTCAAATTATTAGGCGAAATTTTATTAAATTGAAATAAGGATGGTGTCTACTAATGCCAAGGAAAGTGGTAATGATGTGGAAAATGAAGAATGATGATTCTTCTGGTTAGGTACAGGATTCTTTCCATTAAATGGGTTTCACAAGTGACTTAATATAACCAAACATGAAATTTATAAAGTTGGGAGTTCTAGGGGCACACACACCCAGTGATGTTTAGGGGCTATTCTCAGCTTGGCACTCGGGAATCACTTCTAATGGTGCAAAGAAGATTATGTGGTACCACAAATCAAACTTGGGGCTCCCCCATGCAAAGCATATACTGCTGATATTTGAATCATGCCCCTGTCCCATTAAAGACCTTTATAATCACTGAAATGCACACATACATACGATACTCGACAAACTACTTTCCACCAAGACACCTTTGTTGGATATTTGTTTTCTTCAATCCTTTGTGTCCCAAGTTTTAATATATTCCACCATATCTCTGTGTCTATCAATATTTTCTATCTCTCTGAGTTTCCACACAATGACACCCTCTACCCACCCCTCCCTTCCTCTTTTATTATTTAGGAAAATTTACCAAACACTCCTGGCTATTTTTAAATTCTGTGTGTTTCAGCTTTCACTCTCAATTATTTTCATTGGTCCTCTCTTCTGAATAAATGTGGGAATAAGATTTTCTTTGTCTTTTTTGTTTACACTTAATGATATCTTATGCTTAAGAGTTTGGTATGTACCATGGTTTGAACCACCAACTTTGTAGGGTATACTGAATTTATGAAACTAGATGGACCATGCAATGATGTTCTAGTGCTTAAAATCACTCAGATTTAAAGTTCTACAAAAGGGTGTGCAGCAGTAGAAGAAGTGGAGTTATACTGGTACGCTGGGTATGATTTGGTGCTATAACATAGCATGATTAGAGCACTAATATTAATAAAATTATAAATCCTGATGCCTTTTTAATCAAACATTAATATTGCATATATATATATGAAAAACATAATCATGGACCATACATGTCATCAGTTTATAACTCCTAGACTAGATAAACCTAAAGAATTTCTAGTTACAAAATATCAATGCGTTGGCTGTTTCACTGCTCTGATAAATTTTTCAATGGATTGTTATTAAAGGACGTTCAATGAAGGCAAGAATTTGGTCTATTGTCTACTCAGGACTTAGAACACTTCATGAAACATATCACTGTTATTGATATATGCATAATAGAATTTAGAGTTCCATCAGTCATAAATGGAGAGGTTATACTACAATAACAAATAAATCTCAAGTTTCAATTACTTAGAGGACAAATTTTTTTTTATTATCTATGTACATGCATTATGTTTTGTTAAGGATAGGGTAAGACTTTTAAGTGAGTACTAGTCCCTGTTCCAAATGAAAAGAGAGATCAGGAAGACATTGCTTCAACAATTAGATGCTTTATCTTCAAGTGGTAAATCAATTATGTTGATATTCATTGACAAGAACTATATTGTCCATACAATCATTGTATGATCAGCAAGCGCAATCTCGCCATGTAAAGGAAGTGTAAAATGCCAAGTTCTTTGAAATGTGTGAGAATATTTTTGGATAATTGTCTAAAATTCCTTGAATGTCAATATATTTTGATGTTTGCATTACTGAAATGAATTGGCTCTAATAAAAATATTAAATGCATGATACGTGGAAGAGAAAATATTGAGAAATATACTATAGTATATGGGCTGGAGCAATAGCACAGAGGGTAGGGTGTCTGCTACATACTATTAAATAGTGCTAGTATATGGTGAAGGTTTAATAGACATCAGATTCTGCTACTGCTGTTTTGCATTTCTGCAGTTGGTGCACATGTGCTGTATGAAATCTCTAATAGAAAAGTAATAAACTATAGAAATGTAGCACTGTCGTCCCGTTGTTCATCAATTTGCTTGAGCAGTCACCAGTAATGTCTCACAAGAAATTGTGAGACTTGTTACTGTTTTTGGCATATAGAATACATCACAGCTAGATTGCCAGGCTTTGCCATGCAGGTGAGATACTCTCGTATCTCGAGTCGGGCTTTCTGAGAGGGGGAGGAATTGAACCCGGGTTGGCTGTGTTAAAGGCAAACACTCTACTCACTGTGCTATTGTTCCAGCCCAACTATAGAAATATTGGGATTAAATAGATAGTACTGCATATAGAATACTTGCTTTGCATGTAGCCAACTCGGGTTCATAATGAACTATAGAAATATTGGAGTTGAAGAGAGCTCTGCAGTTCAAGTACTTGCCTTGAATGTAGCCAACCCATGTTCAATAGTTAGCATCCCATAAGTTTCCCTGAGCACCTCCAGGCATGAGTCCTAAAGGCAGAGCCAGGAGTAATCCCTGAACTTCACTAGTCTGGGAAAAATTAATCCCTCCCCCAAATAAACAGACAAACAGAAAACAAGAACCAGAAATAAAAAGAAATGCAACATGCAATGTCAAGTAAAATTTTGACATTGTCTTTCTTTATTACTGTATGAAGACTACTTGTTATTATTTTGAAATGTATCTAATGGTAAAATTTATTGAATGGTTTATTACAATGAGCTAGTGAAGTGTGCATTGTGCAGTGTGAAAATCAATGTGAAGGATTGATGAGTCTGAATGGTCCCTCCCTCTCTCAATCTGAGTTACATGAGAAAAAAAGAATGGCTTTCAAGATGAATATCTATCTAAAAACTTCTTTATAATACTTGCAAAAGAAATATAATTTTAATGGTATTAAGGAATGAAAATTATGGGTAGCTTAGTGTGAGAAAATTTTAAAGGAGACTAATCATTTAGCAGATAAAATGGGATATGATGAATCTAAATACATAGTATTACTTTAAAGGATTTGTGAAATAACTGAAAAAATATGCTAAAATAATTTCTAGTGCTAATTATCATTGAACATGAAGTCATTTTACATTTATCAGGGATATTACAGTACAATCATTCTATTTCCAAAGAATAAAGAGTTCAAAACATGGTAACATAAGTAAGATGTTGAATTGAATGCTTTTTCTCTTCACTGCAGCATATTATTTCAGAAATAGACAAACCTAAATGTGTCTTGAGGGCTGTGGACCTATCTCAAAAGACTTGTTTGCATACATCGCACTTAGAATCACTGGCTAGAAGCCTGATGCTCTTATAATTCTCTGAATATTCCCTAGAAAAACCTCTGAGTAACCTGCCAGGAGTAGCCATTGAACACTACTAGGTGAAGCCCCCCACAACCAGATAAGTACATAATAAAATGCCTTGAACATCCTTCTTTGTCAAATTTTAGAGTGTGTTGCCGAAAAGGACATATTTCTATTTTAAAATATCTTTTTAAAACTTAGAACTTCTTATTGGGCATACAAACATTTATATTGTATTTCCAAAATACTACAATCCAAGAATTTAACTACCAAAATGAAATGACAGACTTATATCTGTAGAAATATAACAATCTTGTTTTGTTAACTTATAGGTTAATAGAAGAGTAAGAGGTAAGAAATGGTTCATATTTCAGTTTACCATTTACTGTTAGAAGTCTAACACTTTTTCTTCCAATTCCATATTTTGCAGGCTATTTCTTTTGTTTCTCCTTCTCCTATTATTATTTTGGCAAATTAACTATATTAGTAAAACATTTAACATAACATACCAGGCAATACAGTGTTAAAGTGCTGCTTGAGTTGTTGAGGAGTTAGCGGGCAGGTATTGCAATTCACTGTAGCTGTAATAGAGGGTAATGTCACTTTAAGACATGTGATACTTTACAGAGGAGGGATGTATTGAAACAGACTATTGCTACTTACAGCACCGTATAGCAGCCCTGCTTCACATTTTGCTGCCTTACTCTGCCCTGAATACACTGGATTGGGGATGGTTCATCATTAACTATAAACTGGTTCTCATCAGGAAACTGCACATTATCTAACTACCACTTCAAAGGTCTCTCGTCAGGCAGAAGTGACGCCAGGAGAAGATTTAAAGGTGAAAATGACAAGGTTTCTACCCCTCAAACCTTGGTTCCTTTTCTGACAATACAGTCTGAATGAAACTGATGCCTTCTTACTGTGGAAACAGCATCTGAAGAAAAAATTATATTTTTAAATATTGAAAAAGAAGATTACTGGGAAGCTCTTTAAAAGACAGAGAGAGAGGAAAAAAACTCTCCAATTTGTGGCACAGATGGATTTTAGAAAGTGTTAGAGCTTTCCAATGAACACTAATAGAGCTCTCTGCTCTTGGCTGGATTTTTCAGGTAAGAAACCTTTTTAAGGATTTAATATTTGGAAAGGAGATTTTTAATCTGTTCAGTCACATCAAGAGAACTATGTAAATCTGGGTGCATTTTGGTGGGGGGAACACCTCTTAATAGAGACAACCTCTAGATAGTAAGAAAGTAAGTAATGAGAGTGATGTGCATGAATCTTGGAAATAATACTGAGATTTTTTTAAGTTAAGTGGAAAATAGAGATTGAAAAGTAAAATATTGCAAACGAGAATCAGAGTAATCAGAATTATTGACAAACTGTTAAGTTTTCACTGTAGTCATCTTCATTCCTAGTGTAAATTCACTCCAAGTGCATTGAACTAAAATTAACTAGCAGGCAATGTATGCCGTAGTCACCTCTGTTTTGTCTTTCTGTAATTTGGAAGATATTCAGAAAAGGTTCCCAAACACACTCATTTTAGGATTCACAGGAGGGGTGCTGCCATTTATCTCTACTAAAGAAAATGCATCTATCTCATGCCTAGTTTTAAGACAAAAGGGCCAAAACTGTTGTATACAAAAGTAAACAGTAGGCAGTGAAACTAATAATAAAGTGAATGGTCCATGTGAATCACAGGCTGTGGCATAAAAGGCATCACGCTGTTGAAAATAATGTTTTTCTACTTTGTTCTAATTATGGTTGTCACCAATTGTCTTTACAGTCATGAAACCTTATATAAAAACTACATCTCTCTCATAAAACCCACAAATTATCCTCTATTATGTCTGTATATATACAAACACATACACACATATATAATTTATTTTGCTTCCTGAACATCAGTTTTGGAAGAGTACCAAGTTCCATGAATAAAGAAGGCATGCTGAGAGGTTACTAGCATGCTTTAAACATATAGTTGAAATGCTTGAAGTATATGATTTGACAGGGAAAAAAAGAAGAAACAATGTTCCTTCCAAAGCTCTCTCTAGAAGAAAACTAAATATGTAACAAAGCGCTTGAGCAGAAATTGTTTTTCTCTTACAGGCTGAGTAAAAATGATACTTAAATTTGATTAATTTTGGAAATATGAAATGCAGCATAAGGTGTTGTTTGAGAAATCGAACAATATGTAGCACAGATGAGACTGTGTAGCGCCTAAGATTTTTATAGGTGCAGACAAGACAAAGTTTCAAAGCCTGAGAGAAGTGTATATTCAGCCACACATATGCCACCTGTGTATGCATATTCATCAACACTACACAACAGTTTCCACAAAGGAATCATAGGAGGTAATGCAATATTAAAAATCATGCTCACGCATTCTTGGATAGATGCAAAGACCTTGCATGCAAAACTCATTCTGACTTTCTGGTTGGAGACAAACCCTTATTATTTTAAGTCCAGCCGAAACGACGGGCTCTATCAGGAGATTACAACATGCCTCTGAGAAATGATCACTTAGGTTAGAAGACAGCATCATGATTAAAAATTCATGACTGTAGAATTAAAAAAAAAGAATCTGCTCTTTCCTTCCAGGCTTATGTCAGACTTGCAATGAAGTTAGAATAGGCAGGGGTATGCAGCTTTTCTGTGCCTGGGATAACGATCGATTAAAAAAAAATCACTACTGAGAGTCAAAAACTTTATTTTTGCATTTTAGCAATCTTTCAAATTTGGTGTTGCCAGATTTATGAAATAAATTAATGATCTCCTGGCTGTATTTTATCTTATTTCTATTTCAAGGCATGACCTCTGCTGAGCCATTAATTTCAGCCAGCAAAGTAGAGAAAGGACATGGCATTTGAGACCCCCTGGTTTCACTGCAATGGACTGACAGTGATGCGGTCTTGAGGCCTGGGGTAATCCTTTCTGTATAACATTCTCTCTAGAGAATGGCCATGGTCTCTGCGATGTCCTGGGTCCTGTATTTGTGGATAAGTGCTTGTGCAATGCTGCTTTGCCATGGATCTCTACAGCACACTTTCCAGCAGCATCACCTGCACAGACCAGGTAAGTCCAGCGGCTTCGCTGTGCAGCCTCTGGTCTCAGTGTTCTCTACTTAACAGATGGTCGAATGCAAGTGACAGAAAGTGCTATGTATGCGGGCAGCTCGTCTCTGCATCCCAAAACATATTGTTGGCTGGATCCTCTAGGGGAAAGGTTGATATGGAAATTCTTGGACGTATTTCCATTACTTTCTCAGAAAAGGTGGTTTTTCACTGAGTCTCCCTCCCACTTCCGCACACCTTAAGAAAAGATGTCTAAGGCTTTGGGAGACTAATCCCTATAGGGGAATATTCTCCATTCTGAGAAAAGTGGGCTAACTTTCCAGAGTTGTGATTTTAGGGAAGCAGAATATGATCTTTGCAAGCACTGATAAAACAATGTGCCTGTATTCCTGGCATACATTTTATCTAGTATACATGTAACAATTTCTGTGTGTGTAGTTAAGGATTTAGCAGATGTTAGCTCCAAAATGAATTTTGGAAGTAACTTGTCAATGAAATAGAGATTAAGTGGTAACTTACTCTTTCTTTCTAATTTAATATGTCTCCTTAATTTTCTCCCTTCACTTTCTGTTCGTGCAGTCTTTGATTGCTTTTTTTTTTCCTCCCTCGCCCGGGGCAGTTCTGGGACAAGTTTCCTCTTGCCGGATTCCTGATGCCCCCACCCGCGCTGGTCCCTTTATTGAATTTTGAGCTCCAGACACGTTTTGTTTTTTTCTTCCTGCTCGAAGTGTGATTCTTACCCTTGCGTGACCTGTGCACCCTTCACTGGAGATTTTGCTCTCTCGGTTGCGTCCGGCGGCTTTCTTCTTCCCGAACTCAGTTGTCTTGACCATTTCCTCCTCCGAACGGATTCCTTCCATTTTCTGTTTAGTTCCAATCTTTGCATCCGTTTACTCCATCCTCCGCCTGCTCCCAGCTCCCAGCGCCTCACCCCCGCCCGGTCGACAGCCAGATCTGGGCTCTGGGGACCAGTTGCGCACCCAAGCTTGCGTCCCCCAGGTCTGCGCTCCCAGTCCCTCACTCTCCAAATGCCCCCCCTGCCTCCTCGGGTCCACTCCAGCTGCGCGGTCCACCAGCTCCGCCTCTGCCTCTGCGGGGCTCGAGGCCGGCCTCCGCACTGATCCTGGGCTAAGCATCCTTGCAGCAACGCCTTCTGAGACGCCGCTCGCTTCCTCCCGGGCTCTGCTTGCCAGCTCTCGGCAGTGAAGAAGCGCGGGGGAGGTGGTCCCCGGGGGTCCTCCAGCGCCCTGCGCCGCGGGCGCCGGCCTCCTGGTGGCCGCTGCCCGGCCGGTCCCGCAGAAGGAGTGTAGGGGGCGGCTGAGGCCGGAGGCTGCCTTCGGGTCCCTGCCGCACGCGTTCCTCCCGCCCTGGGGTTCGGAGAGAAAGGCGTCAGGACGCTGGTGCCCCTGCAGGTGGACGTGGAAACCGCGCCGTTCTCCCGCATTCCTGTTAGTTGGCCCCTGAACTTGAAGCCGGCTCCAGCTCTGCCAAAGCTCCGGAGCTGCAGAACTCCGAGACCCAGTAGAGGCGAACTCTGGCTTGGGAATCCCCCGACCCCCCAGAGCCCCCACAATTTGTTTTGGCATAGATATCTTTGATTTGTTGCATATTCATACAAATAAGGTGGGAGATTTGCATTCGTTGTACTACTTAATGAGAAGCCTTAGCCCCTCTCCATGCCCCCCCTAAAAATGAAGTTGTGTTTTAGGCAAGCTCGCAAGTCTACTTCACCCCATACCACTTTTGACCCAGACTCAGAGTCTGAGGGATTGAGGGCATAGTTGAGATCACACAGCCCACCACCACTGCCTGCCTTTGGAAGTCAAGTTAGTCTGACTTCATATCTAGAGCCTGTTTTCTAAGACAGATGCCGAGTTGACTGGTATGTGCAAAGCACGCCAGGAGACCTCTTTGAGATGTGCTAACCTTTGCCTAATTTGTCAAAACTGTCAAGTCAATACCTGGACTCATTTGAACCGCAAACTCCTTTCTGCAAAGTGTTCTGGCACACACAAGCTGAAGTCAGAGCTGGAGATTGACTCACATTCCGGGACCTTGCACAACTTCACTTTTCTTCCCTGAGCCTAAATTCCCAGTTGAAGGGACACTGTGCTATGTCGATTAAAAAATCTAGGGAGTGCTTTGTAAACTGTAAAGCTCTTCATAGATCATGAATTACTAACATCCTCACTTAACCACTAGTAAATAGCACCTCTCAGATATGTTGTAGAACTGAAGGTATACTATTCACAAACCTTACAATACAGATAGAAAAATCTTTGCCTTTATTTTTGCTGTTTTTTTTACTACAGTTCTTTGCTGAAATGCACTATGTTTTATTTTACACTCTGTAGGATAGTCATAAAATATAGCAAAGTTTCACAGTAATTTTTCATTTAATCTGTCTCTGTTAATCAGTTACAAGATTACTGGTTTTGGTGGAAAGGTATGGCTATGTTACTTATATAAATACATGTCTTATGGGGTTTCTTATCAAAATGCTATAATTTAAAATTGAGAAACACATCATTAGGTTCTGACTTAAGTTAAACTGTCTTGATTTTTCCCATTATTCATTCTTAGAAACTGCTTTTCATCAATTCTCTTCCTTTGTGTATATTAAATAGCCCAAGAAAATGCAGCACTGAAACCAATTTCAACCCCAAGTGCTTATACATTGGAGGCCTATTTCAGATTCATTGATGGGATGAAAAAACTATAAACACTCTTTTTTGATGCAAAAGATGAAAATGATATTGAAATGCAAGTCCAATAGTTCTATGTAATATGTTTATTCAACTTCCTTGGGTCTTCAACAATAGCTGCAAAGATCAAAGTGATAGATCATGGACAAAGTAATAGTCTAGATTATTTCAGTCAGAATACAATCTCCTTTAACACAATTTTCTGTTTTGCTGTTTTAAGAGCAACTCTATGCTTTTTTTGATGAGTGCTGTGATGTTTCTCTTTGTGGGTCTTAAATCTTCAGGGACACTAATGAAATGTGGATAAAAACAAGAGAGAAATCAGGGCTAGTTATCTGTGACAGCCCATCCCAAAATGAGCAAATAAATAAATAAATAAATGGATAAATGAGAAAAAAAAGGAAAAACATAATCTCATTTTCTCAGATTGGTTAAAACAATTGACATGATGAGAAAAAATGAGACACCAGCAGACCCTGAGCTTTGCCACATTTGCCTAAGCTTGAAAAATCGCCTCTTCCCTAACGCAGGAGCAGTCAGACACCATGTGCATACCAAGTATTCAGGAAATGTGAAAAAATGACAAATCTTTCACTCAGAGACCTATATGGAGAGAGAGTGAAGGCTGTACAGCTGCCTCCTCACCTGCTAAGGAATGACTGGCCCCTCCTCTCACTAGCCTTTAACAGGCACCATTGCCATTCCTTCCACAGTAAGATTGATGGTGCTCTGATCTCATGCAGCCAATTTCAGTCTCTCAAGAAATAATCCACTACACTGACAGATGAGTGGAATTTGACGCGATGTTCCCCTCGTTCAGCCTGTGTACACCTGGATGGCACCAGCCAGCCAGGGGCCTTTAGGGGAAATGGTTAGAGATTTAGACCAATTTCTGCTGTCAAAACATGAAATCAGGACAATGTTTTCGTGAGGTCATGAATTTGTGATCTGTCTTCTCAATGCAGTTGGTTTGCTCACAAACAGAATGAGAACATGTTAACTAGAAAACACTGGTTTTAATGCATTCCCCTGCAGATCTAAGTATTTTCTATTTTCATGTGTATAGTATTAGAAGTGCGTCATTTATTTTCAGTTACTGATGCGTTAAGGAGGATTAAAAGTCAATCAAATAGAAATGATTTTGAAAGTTACACAAATGAGTGAAAGTGCTACAGAGGAACAAGTTTGTAATTTCAATAATTTAATATTTGACTAAATCAAGTTTCTAGTTTAAGAATGATGTTGGACATTACAATAACAATTTGAAGATTAGACATGTCTTTTTATATCTACTTAAATATATATATATATATATATATATTATATTAACACTTGGGGCCCCTCCCAGTAATTTTTGGCCAAGCAGACCTCAGTTCATTGTGAGTGCTCAAAATATGGTGTGGATAAGGCTCTGTGATTTCAGAGTTTCTCAGGGCTATTTCAGAGTGTTCCATGTGGTGGGAAAAAGTGGTAACTGAGATAGAACCAGGGTCAACCACATGTAAGGCAGATACCTAAATCCCTGTACTATTACTCCAGCTTTAATTTTGAAAAGACAAATTAAGCAGTGAAAATTCCAAAGTGGTGTGCCATGATTATATATAATCAGACTGGCTTCATCTTTTGATAATTGTTGTGAAAATATAGACATATATATTTATAAAGAATTGTTTGCTAAATGTAATTTATGCTTAGAATTTTTTTCTTTTTATAGATATTTGAATTATAACAGCATTTTTTAATAGATACTGAATTTCCGCTTTATGGGGATGTGTCTGTAAGGGGTTTGTCCTTGAAACTTAATAAACATATCATTACTATAGTTTGGAACTATATATGGGATTCTTTAGTAATTTAAAATTACAAAGATAAATTACCTGAGACAAGAAATTATAAGTACCTAATGAATTATTTATTCTTGACTCACTACTATCTTATTGACACAACTAGATGAAAATTATATATAAAAGGATTTTTCAAATAGAATTATCTACATAACTCAGATGTGGCTTGATTTAAAGTTATATCATACACTCCCAATTTATTTATGCATTTAGTAATATTCATTTATGATTTATTTATTGCACACTAATATCGCCACCATTTAAAGAGTGATACTTTTAATTGCGATGTTGGAAAAGCGTTTTTGTATTTCTTGTACTTTGTTTTTTGTTCAACCATTACAGCTTTATTTAAATCTCCTTGAAGAATATTCACTAGACTACCAAGGACTTATACATGAAAGGATTGTTCTATAGTGGTAAAATAAAAGAAGTAGTAAGAACAATAATGGTTG